GAGCTTTTTATGGTATCGATCCCATCGAGGGGCCACGCCCTATCGAACGTGGCGTGGCTATCGTGGGATCGCGTGTTTTCTCTTAAGGTGTCACCGAATCCCCGCACACCCCTGCACACCACGTGCTTTCATTCTTTCATGCGGCAATCTTCGCAATTCGTGTGCGCAATTTCCCTTTGACGCCTGCAATTCTATTCAGCTGTAGACACATAAAGAGGAAACACGTAGCACCGCGTTTCTTCTTCGTTCCCTTAACGTTCAAAAGTGCATTTCACTCTCCGACGAAATGGCCGTTTAACGTTTGTTTAAAGTGCGCGTTTGTCATGTGAAACGAACGATGAATCACAGCCTTGCTTATTTTTCTTCTTCCTTTTTATTCTTCTTCTTTTTTTTTTTTTTTTTTTGATGTATAGGTACATCAATTGTGGCGGATGAAAAATTGTCTGACAATGTCTTGTCGGTTTTTATTTTTCTTGGAAGATATATATATAAAAAAAAAAAAAGAATAGTTCATCTTTTATAATTCTTTTTATCATATTTTATAGATTTTATTTGTTTCGAACGCAGTCATTGAAAACATTACATTAGGCAATCCATGATTTAAATTCACGAATCTTTTAATAATAAACGGATCGTTTCAAGTTTATAATTGAGTTTGTTTCGAATATTATCGAGTTTAGCGAAATATTTTCTAATTAAAATCATTCGTGCATACAATTGCTTTTGATTGATTAATTCGATCGTGTTAATCGTTCCATCAGCATTTTCGCCAGCATCTTCGTCTAATGTTCGAAGAATTTGCTCTGACCTGTATTCCTCAGGATTTACCACGCGACCCAATTTGTCGGGAAAATGTCAGAAACTCTGGTTGACCTGTTCCCTACAAGCTTGTGCAAGTTGGAGCGAGATAAAGAGAACGCTACCCTTCTGTAAAAATATCAGTGAAAATACCATTCATCCACCTCGTGGAGAAGTTACTTTCTTCGTCAGTTTCCCCGGAGGTGATCCTGTCCTTTTGTTGAACGTTTCTTTTCTTCGCTTTATCATTCTAGAAAGGCGCTGTTGCGCAAATTGATTTTCCAATAATGCCATTATTGCACGTATTATTTACCATGAGATATAATTTTATACATTTAATATACTGCTTCTTAAAATACTGCTTCTTGTTTTCGAGCATCGAAGTATTTCAACAATTTGTTGAATTAATAAAATTCTAAACAAGATGTGTAAATTATAATAATAAAATAACAAGATGGGGAATACAGTAAATTAAAAACGATCTAATCTTTAGATTTGAAAAAGTTTCCAATGAAGAGATAAAATTAAAGTTGGAAGTTTCATTATAAGATTTCATAAGATAAAAGGATATTCTTAAGCGAATTAATTTCCATAACCGTGAGTTTATCGCTCGTTTTTGTTTCATCCCTCTCATTTACTTTTGAATGGAACAATGATCTCGGTGAAAGAAGATATGAAACGGGGATTCTCTCTTTTAAAAGCGTTTGGCATTCGCCAGGAGGAAATATCTCTCTGGAAACTATTTCATTAAATCTCTACTCAAGATTTATGGTCGCGGTCGTATGGCGCCGGATTAACTTCACTTGTTCAAATCAATAAGTTATCTTTCACCGTATTACAATTAAAATAACATCGCCAAAAGTTCGTCGCAAAACGTTTCTGAAAAAAATTTGAAACAGCGTAGAAAATAGTTGCAAGTATTGATAGATAAATGTACGTTTGAAATTCGACCTATTTGGATACGATCAATAGCATTAAAGACAAGGTATTTTACTCGAGAAGCCATAATCGAACACTTAAATGTCGAACGACATTAATGGATTTAATCATCTTCAAAGTGAAAACGATTTCTCACGTTGTGAAATCTGATGATAAAATCGCGTATTTAGATATACAGTAGCATTCCATAGAACTTTGAATTATATTTCACTGATAATATATATCATACTTCGAGATTTAACGCGAAGAGAAAAAATATAAATCCAAGAGGGAGAATTTTTATTTTATAAGTTTTATTTTTTTCCCAATCCTAAAACAGAAGCGATTAAATTCATTTGGGAAAAAAAGAAAAGAAAAGAAAATATTTCGTCGGAATATTTCCTTTTTTACAAATATTTATTTATTTTATTCACGACATATTTCCGATATATGAATGGGAATAATAATTGCCATAATTTTGTAAAATGTTTCAATAAAATTTCATCAAAGTTTTTTCATCTTACTCTTTTAGATTTTAAATCTAAAAAAGAGTATAATAATCGTTATTCGAAATGATTGCATATGGAAATTCTAATGAAGAAAAGAAAAAAAAAAAATTGAACCACCGAGGAAATTAATTGGCCATTTATTACTATCGATCATTATGAAACTTTAAAGATATCGAGATGCTTCATCCTATCTTAATTGTTTCTAATTATGGTACTATAATGGGAATATACATTAACAATTATTATTATTTTTACGATGAAGTAAAACGTGACGAAATACAAAATGGATAAGAAAACTTTTCATACAAGTTTATCTTCTTTTTATAGTTTAATTTATTTCCCATAAATATTTTATAACTCACTTTATCTCTCATAAAGACAATATTAGGTCATATTCGTTATTAGTTATTAATTTCTATTGAGTATTATTAATTTGAACGAATAACGTAACATTCTTTCTTCTTGTATGTATCA